AAAAAAAAAAAAAAAAAAAGAGAGATTACAATTCGAGACTTTGAGAATTGTCTTAGGTGTTATGCATACAATACCTACAAATGTTCTTCTCCACATGGCTGGTGAAGATCCTTTGTTTTTGGGAAGAGAACTTAATTTTAGATTATTTTTAATTAAGCGTTTTAATGTATTAGAGCATCCTGTAAGAGAGTTGGCTTGGTCTTTATTTAATAGGAACCTGAATCTCCGGTCATGTGTAAGTGAGCAATTTTTTTATTCAATTTATATCACTTTTTTTGAATTTTATCGCCAGTTGTATACATCTGTTTTGCCTGTTCCTTTGGTTTTTTATTTGGAGTCAATTTTTTGTCGATTACATACTAATGTTGATATTGGTGATTCATGTATGAATCGTTTTCTTTCTCTTACACAGAATAATAGTCTTGTGTTAAATAATGTTAAAGTTTTTGATAAATTGAATTCTCATTTTAAATTAATGTTGGGTAAAAACAAATATATTAATTATAGTATTTTCTATACTGATGGCTCAAAAATGGACGTGGAAGTGGGTTGCTCGGTTTTTTCCTTCTCCCCTTCTGTTTCCTTTAGTTGTAAACTTGATAATGACTTATCAATTTTTGAGGCTGAAGCTACGTCGGTTGCACATGCTTTGACCATGGTGTTTGACACACAGTCAAAAAAGGTGGTTATTGCCACCGATTCTAGAAGTCTCATCTCGGCTCTGGGTAGATGTGACCCAGCTGGTAAACAGCATGAATTAATTTATATTATCAGAGATATTTATTGCTACTTGATCAAACAAGGCTTTGATGTTGTGTTTGTCTGGATTCCGGGACATTCTGGAGTTGAGGGTAATGAACGGACTGATGAATTGGCAAAGAACGCTGCCCGTGGAATAAATTTATCTGTGGAGCATAAAACTGTTCTGTTTTCTAATACAGTTTGTAGAATGCTTAGAGATTGCATGAATGAAAATGTTGCGCAATTTTTTAGAGATACCTCAAAACAAAAAGGTTTCAGGTATTTTCATAGAACGCGTATGAAAAATCTTTTGGAGCCTTGGTTTTTACAACATGCTCATCTCAATAGAGAAATTATAACTATGGTATCACGTTTGCGGACTCATCATACACAAGTAACGCAACATTTATATGATAAAAATATCTGTGACCTACCGCTTTGTGATTGTGGTCTGCCAGAGACTTCTGAACATGTAATTTTAAATTGCCCGCGTAATCAACGGGAGTCGGACTTACTGAGGATTGGTCTACACAACTTCTGGGGAATTGAACCTATCATTCTCGGGTGCGTTCAGATTCCCTACCCGGGCGCACTCTGTTACTAGAAACACTATAGTATATGTTACATATACTATAGCACTTCTTGTATTAGAGTGCACTCGGGTAAGGAATCTGAACGCAGCCCTCGATGATATAGTGTTTAGTAGCAACGAAGGTGCTTTCAAGGAGTTATCTCTTTTCTTTCGGAGGATTAATAGAAGGATATAATTTGGATGGAACTAATTACGTATTGTTGCAAGATTGGAATTTTATATTGCTGTTTGTAATTTATGTTTTACTTGGGTGGTCAATGAACTAGTTTCACAACTATAGTAACAACAACAACTCTCGTTATCGTAAGCACCCATAGTTCATGTTACGTATACTATAGCTTTTCATTAAATGTCGTATGCGATATATTTTCGAGAATCTGGACCCTGTGCCCATAGGTAGTATATATTTCAGTAATCTAAAGAGCGATAGAATGACGCGTAGCGTTGGTAGCACGCTCTCCGAACGCACCCTATACCGTGGCTAAATCGCGTGCATGATCACTCTCAGGTTTCTTTCCTGTTCCCTGTAGTAAATGTTGTGAGGGAGTGTGCGGTCCAGTTACTTGGTCGCGTTTGTGGTTATTAAGTTTGACAATAAATATTAAATCGCATCGTATGACACGAAGTTAACATTTTGCCAACATGGGTAAGTGACAGTCTAATGACTTCTTGGTCGATACAGCGAACTTATTTCCATTCCGCGAAAATACTGTAACACACGACGTGTCCGTGATTATCGACACGTTACTACTTGTCACAACAATTATTCGCGATAGTGCACGAAATTCTGACTACGTCTTCTTGCAGGTGGGTTGCTCAGCTACTTCCGTAACCTGCTCGGCAGCCGTGAGATGCGTATTCTTATCTTGGGTCTGGACGGGGCTGGGAAGACCACGATTTTATACAGGTTCGATCTTGCATTGACAGTTCCTTATTTCCATTACTCCAATTACCGATTTTATACAGCTCAACGTTATTTTTACACGTAAAAGTTATTCATAATTTTTTGTTGCATACTCTGTGTCTTATAATTCATTTTTGCACGATATTAATATAATTACTGGTATTTTGCATCTTTCATATTATTGTACTTTGTAGTCCATATATAATACTCTTATTAAATAATTAATGATTAAAAAATCATATATATATATATATTTGTAAGACATAGTTTGAGTTATAAAACTTCTTTCAAATATAATTTTAATTGACTATCTATTAGGTTACAAGTGGGAGAGGTAGTAACTACAATTCCCACCATAGGCTTCAACGTAGAGCAAGTTACTTACAAAAATTTAAAGTTTCAAGTTTGGGATCTTGGTGGTCAGACAAGTATACGGTATGTACAACTTGTAAAAGTTGATTTTACAAAATTTTTGCAAAAATAAAGTTACATTTGCTTATTACAAATTTATAATAAATATATATATATCTTAGTATCAGTAGTCTATGCAAACATATTTTGTTTCTCTTTTCAGACCATATTGGAGGTGTTACTACTCAAACACAGATGCAATTATTTATGTAGTAGACTCAGCAGACAGAGATAGAATAGGCATATCGAAAGATGAATTAATTTACATGTTACGAGTAAGTAATATTTTTTTCACAAATGATTTTATATATTACTTGTTTAGATTAAAAAACTTTATGTTTTGAGCTAATATCAATATATATTTTAAGAAAATATGTTCTGAAATATAATTTTTTAATGATATAACATGATGTAAGTGTATCTTATATTTTGTATCAGGAAGAAGAATTACAAGGTGCCATTTTGGTGGTACTGGCAAACAAACAGGATATGACAGGATGTCTCAGTGTTGCAGAGGTTCATCAAGCACTTGGATTAGATGCTCTCAAAAATAGAACCTTCCAAATATTTAAGACTTCTGCGACAAAAGGCGAAGGACTTGATCAAGCGATGGACTGGTTATCAAATGCACTGCAAAGTAGAAAATGATCTATATTATATGAAAATTATTCTTGTTTGAGCCTTACAAAGGGACTAGTTATACGACTGTCACTTTGAATTTGCCGCCGGCGACATTGTGTTGCCGATAGCACATTTCTGTTTATATATTTATTATAATTATTATATTATAAACATCTTTTTTGTGCAGTCTACAGTGAAAGTATTTGAGGAGAGTCATAACCTTTTCATAACGCAGAACATACATGATGCTAAGAGAATCATATATATGTTTAATCGTTTCTATACGATTTCAAGACTAAAAGTATAATAAACTTAGAGAATTCTTTCAACACAGATTTTTTCATTAATAGGTATATTTTATATAATTGATTACATGTGAGCAATAGTTACCGTTACTTCATTGAATTTTATCACATAATCTTGGTTGAACAAGTTATGTCGCTATTTAATCTTGATGGTATTTAAACTTAATATAAAGTTATGGTATAAATCACTTATAATAAGTACACACGTATCAACAAATACGCAATTACCAAATGAGTAAGATAGGAACAAATATTTTAAAAAAATTCGAGTTTGAAAAATCGAAAATGTTTTAGATCATATCTGTACGAAACATACCACCATCATAAAAGAGTGGTACTTACCATCTCAAATTTTCAAGTACTTTTTCGTACGATAATATTAATAAATTTAATATAAATCGAACTCAATATGCAGATGGGACACAAACACAACATCATGCTAGCATTTATAAAGATTGTTAAGCAACATAAATAAAATAAAGTTAATGAAGTCGCGTCGATATTGCAAAATAAGAGATACCATTTTTCAAGTATTTAGTATAAGTTTCATTTTTCGAAAATCATACTAAGCCTATTTAATTCAAATAATTATTTTTTATAGTTTTAACACTTAATTATGCCAAATGGTAGATCATTGATCTGTAACAGAGAGAAGGAAAAGATAAGAGAGAATTTCTAATACATACTTTTAACAATTTTTCTATGTACGCATATGTAGTGATATCTTTTACATACAAAAAATGAACCTACCTAGCGTGCAAGATGCGATCATTCTCTTCGCTACCATTCCGGAACGCCGAACCTTTGAATACGTTTGAGTTTTGCTGTCATGTCCATTCGAGATTTCACCCTCATGTAGAATATCGGACAGTCACGACTGAAATCATACATTTGAAAGTAAAAATGAGTATTTTTTAACGTATATATCATTGGTATTTGTCGTTCTCATACGTGTAAATGTAATTTTATATATATATAAGTGCTCAAATCTGTGTATAAGAATATATCCTTCTTTTGAAAAGTGTGTATAAAGTTTTACATTAATTAATTCAACCAACTTTGAGCAGATAACTTCTTGATGAAGACTCCCTTGGCATCTTTGACATTCTGCCCACAGTCTAGAAAACTTTTCTTCCAACTTGTGTTGGGCTTGTAATTCGTTGTGAAACAACTCGCTCTCATGAAGTTCGCAATGTTTACACACTGCCTTGTCCTCCCTATCCGGTGATAAGACGGCCTTACAGCCCAAACAGGTCTCTTTCTTACGTGTGAAGGCTGCGAGCGCTCCAACTTGTGAAGTAGCGATATATTTTGTACGCGTATGGTCTCCTTTGAGTAGAAGCGATTCTGCCCTTTCACCGAGAATAGGCTCGAAGATACGTACTAAAGGTTTTGCTAGTTGATTTTCTAGATAATAATTCGTATCAATTGGAATACTGTTTTGGAGCACGTAAACGGGATCTTCCGCTTTTTGATACGCCGGAGCACCCTTGGTGGCATTTATGAACACATATGCCACTCTGTCACCAAGTTTCGGTGCGTTGCCGGCGTCTCGTTTTTTCATCTTTGCTGCCAACTCGACGTGTGCTTGCTTCGCCGCGTAATCGGTTTTTGTTAATTCCTTCGTGATAACTAACTGAGAAAGATCGATACGATCACACAGAAGATCACTTATGACTTGTTTGGCATAATCTACGGCAGCGTGTGGATTCCTATAACAACGTTATTACGTTGGTAATTATATAAAGTATAAAAAAAATAATAATAAGTACCTTTCGATAAGTAATATTTGCAAACAAGTGTTCATCATGTTCGCAACTAATGGACAATTATCTCTGCGTACAGTTTCGAGACCTTTACAATCCATTTTATCATATTTATCGGGTTTCGTGAAATATAGGCCGGCGTAACGTTTCTTATTAATTAGAAGATACGGGAAATACACTTTCTCGAATTCCAATTTTATAGGTTTCACGAACTTGGATGAGACGTAATCGGCTGCCTCTTTGCCAAGTTCCATTGCTTCTTCTATAGATTTCACGCCAAATTTTACCATGACCGAATCAGTATCGCCATATATAACTACTGCATCGTTTTTGTATCCATTTTCTACTCGGAAGTGCTCTTCTACTTCTTGTTTTGTTCGTTCTATCATAGTACGTCCGTAAGCGGTAACGCCCTGCAATTACATTTATTACATTTTTTTTTTACATAGTTTATGCGTGGTATATTCTTTAAACATACTTTAAGAATATCAGTGACTTACAGCGGATATTTCTAAACACGGTAATTTTCCCATTTGTGCTCCCGTAAAACCATATACGGAATTTGCGGAAACTTTTAAAGCATACTGCCTGCCATCGAGTACTTTCTGCTTTAACGAGTCTGTCTCCTCTTTCAATTCCGCTTTTGCTTTTTTCCTGGCTGCCAGTAAATTCTCTAAAATCTCAGGAAGAATTCCTTTTCTCATGGAATTTTTAACGAATAATGAATTGCTAGGGGTTGTGTTAATATCGTCATCAAGAATATTCAATTCCTTCTTTTTAGCAACGGTTATTAATGTCGTGTAGCAAAGATTGTGCGCCATGATAATGCTGGGATACAAAGAACTAAAATCCAAAGTAGCAATTGGATCGTTATAATAGCCACGTTTTGGTTCTATAACAGTGCCTCCTTCATATTGCTCATCGGTACCGTGACCTTGATGGACAGGCATCAAATAATCCTTCTCCCGCGTCTATTGATAAAATAACAGTAAATAATGACATACAAATGTATCCAATTATGTATCTCAATATGAGAGCAATTTTTTTTCTCGCTATTATAAATTTACATACCTTGCGTAAAAGTTGTGAAACAACTTTAATTTGTTGCCCTCGAGTTAATAAGCTGGAAATAGATACTCCTGTAACTCTTGCCATTTCCATATAAATAATTATGCACATTAATTTTTCCAGTAATCTAAGCGGCAAGTACGCATCTTTCAAGCAATATACAGCAAGACGTCGACGAGTTTGCGCATTTCCGTTTTGCAAACCAGTAATATCCCTATGATGAACATCCTCTTTTTGTTCTTGAAGAAAATGGTATGATACTGCATTTAGGGAGTAAGACCGCAGTTTATAATCTCGGACCAATACCTAGCATACATTTGCGTTTTCCTTAAAGCTGTAATACCAACAATTTTTCCGTATTTATTATATCAATTTCCTTACCAGCAATAAATCAAATGGTATTCTCCCTTCAAAGTTAATCGATTTATTCTCTCGACGGCCAAGCTGTTTACTTTGCAACACGTGATCCTTGATGACAGATTTTATATTCTTTATTCGGCCTAAAAAGCTGAAGTTCTGAACGTTGAGATGTTGCGCGCGATTAATCAAGTACGGGAAGTCAAAATTATTTATGTTATATCCTGTAAAAATATCAGGATCTAATTGCCGCACAAAATCGGCCCATTTCTTGCAACAGAAAAAATTACTTTGTTAATAAACAATTAACTAGATAATCATAAACATATTTTATATTTTAATTGGGTTACCTCTAACATTAAATTTTCTTTCTTGAAACTTAACACCTGACAACCGACGATAGGTGCACAAGTATTAAGAGTAAAAATATTCTTTAAAAAGGGTTCTGTTTCACCCTGTTTTATGACCATATTAGCGATTTGTATCACTGGATCATGTTTTGCTTCTGGGAAAATGCCTGCAAAGAAAACTTGTAAGCAATTTCATATAGTAATATAACATCATAGTTAAAAAACGTAACGATTACCTTCGCGTCCAGCGCATTCGATATCAAAACTAAGAATTCTAAATGGGGCTACTTTTAACCATTCTCCTTCTGGTGCATGGGCTATGAAAGCATCCCATGCAACATCTATTTCCAATTGACATCGTGTAGTTAGTTCCAACATGTGTCCATATTTACCACGTAATTTCCAATTTTTTGCTTTCAACTCTATCCAAGAACAGCCGACTACTGATGTGTCAACCATAAACCTTACATAAATAGTTAAATATAAATTAATATAACACGATTTTAATGAATATATATGGCGTATGATATTTTGCTAATATGTACCTGATATCAAAATCAATATTACTTTCAAAAGCTTTATAATGATGATTAAACACAGTATAAACTGTGCCTTGTTCCAGTAATCTTTTGCAAGGTGCTATCAATTTTGGAACTGCCACCGTAATTTTTAAAAATGGTAATTTTTCATTTCCTATGTATCCATACATAGATTGTTTATAAACTAATTCAACTGCTAGAATGGCTTCTTGGATGTTATCAGGATTTGATTTCATATCTTTCTTCACTGCTTGATTCAGAGCTTCCTATGTTGAGATAGAATTTTTGTCAATTATAATTTTATTATCATATTGAAAATCATTTTTTTTCATTACAAATATACATACTTCCCCCCTCTCTCAATTGCATATAAAAAATTAAATATAAAACCAGTAGAAAGCCAGTGTAATGAGTTAACAAATATATCCATCATAAATTGTATTTATCTACCGTATCTTTAATGATTCAATTTTAGTTGAGCATTGAAATAATGGAAATCAATGTCAATGGAACAGTCAATATGTTAACCCTTAATCAACAAGGCTCTTCCTGGAATAAAAATCACAAGACTAGGTCAGATTTAATGCAATTTTTCCAAATTTTTTCAACAAATGTTTTAAATTTTTCCTAGAAACCATATACTATAAAGGAGAGAATTATATCTCAGTATAAATCTGAAAAAATCTCATTATATCATAGTTTTTTAGGTATTAAAATCAATCTATATGTATGTAGTGAAATAACAATAGCACTCTGGATCAAATCTAACTCTACTTGTTGAATAAGGATTAACTTTCAACATATATTATCCTTTTGCTAATAACTTCATAAGTCTATATTGTATAAGTTTAGTTGTGACTTTCACTGACAAATTACATTGCTTTAAAATTTCTTACAATATACGATAACTAAATTTTTATCGGAATGTAGTAACTAAACTAATGTAAAGAATTTTATGTATAAAAAAAATATGAACTAAAAGAAATTAACCCACCTAAATGCTTATTTATACCTACTTTGAATGGTTTGCAGTGTTGATTTGTAAATTTAGATGGACCTGAGGCAAAAAAATATGGACAAAAACCATGAACATGGCAGCAGACAGAATTTCCTAGTTCTGTAACACCAAACATTCTCATTATGGGTACAGGTCCTAATTTACTGCCTGGCATTCCAGGAAGAGGTTTACCTATACAAAAAAGAAAAGATTAAAAATAATATTGCATTTTTTATTTATAGTGCAGTTCGTTTTATCTTTAATATCTTTATTATCTTAATTTATCTTTAATATAAAAATGTATCTTTGAAATAATGTATTACCTATGTAATGATCAATTTCTATTTGTTGAAATGATAATGTATCAATTTCTGGATTCAATGGTGGTGCAGGAGTTCTACTCCATTTTACAGATGTATTTTCTTGTTCAAGATCCTATATACATAAGAAAGCTGTTAATATATACTAAATTTGTATACATTTTAATAAACGATACATGCAATATTATAAGATAGCATAGGATCTTGAGATTGAGTAAACCTATATATATATGTATATATACATATGATATAATGGTGTTCTCTTGGAAATGTTTCATGAAAGATAAATTAAAACTGCAAAGCTCTACATTTTTGTTTTTAAAATAAATTATATTAATTTATATTTTCAGGAACTTGTTAATATGTCAACTCTGAAATAAAATTTTGGTGGAAAAAAAATATAATTATACTATAAACTAATTAAGTTATTATACTACTTGATAATATATTACTATATGTATGTATATGTGTGTGTAATGATATATTGTTACATCCTATATATCAAGTATATATAACAGAAAACAATTTTTTATTATCATAGATATAATTGTCATACTTCTCCAATTAGCATTTCATCTTGAAAATCATCATCTGTACAATCCATAGTAGCCAGTTCTACTCTGCTATACCAGATAGAAGCCTGACAAAATATTACTAAAGACCATTGGCACAATATATGCAAAACCCGGTAATTTTAAAGCGGGAAACACACGCTCTTGCATGAAAACCATAGACTTAGTATATATAGACTGCGTATTGGGTTGAGCAGGGGGTCGATTGTGTATCTCGAAACGGAGTGAAAATTATAGCGAATTCGCTATTATACTAGTGCGTACTGAGTGCGCATTAGGGCTTGTTCATAGTATGTTATTATATTTAAAGATTGTCTTAAATAAATTATCAAATATTTTTAACGATAATGATATGTACAACATCATGTACAACATGTACGAATCATTTTATTAGTTAAAATGTTTTTAAATATGTATTTAAAACACAATCTTAAATATAAGAATGTACTGTAAATAAGCTTAACGCACACTCAATGCGCACTAGTGCAAGTTGCCGAATTCACTATTAAGTTTGTCGAGTTGCTTGTACTATTCACACTTTTACACCTAATGCCCGTTGCACACTAGTGCACCTCATACAATACAAATTTTCCAAAATACGTTCTGAAGACGTTTTCAGGACGGAGGGATGTCATCAGAATATTCTTAGGACGTCCTTTGAAAGTGTGAATTGTCTGAAAATAGCTAATATCCAATAAGTTTATTCGCATTAATTGAACTTTTTACACTTTCACACTTAGTGCATATTAATTCTTTAGAGGTTCTAAAAATGACGTCATGAGTTCCGTTCGTGTTAAACCCGTATCAGACTACGGATTAAGATTGAGATTGAATTAAAAATTAGCCAATCAGAGCAAAATTCACCAAACCTGAGCTTAATGAATTTTGCTCTGATTGGCTAAATTTCAATTCAATCTTAATCCTAATCTATAGTCTGGTACGGGCTTTAAGGCGGAATTACACTACTGGTTGCGGGCTCTGTTGCGGTTAAGATTGTTGGAAATTTACCAATCAGAGTGAGCAGTTCGGCAAATTATTCGCCCTGATTGGTAGATTTTCAACAATCTTAACCGCAACAGAACCCGCAACCGGTAGTGTAATTCGGCCTTTACGAGTGTAATTGCAATTTTGATACACTTTTTACACTTGATCCCAAGCAAGAGTGAAAAGTGCATCAGAATTACATTTACACTCGTAACACGAACGGAAAACATGACACCATTTTTAGAACCTCTAAAGAATTAATGTGCACTAAGTGTGAAAGTGTAAAAAATTCAATTAATGTGAATAAACTTATTGGATATTAGCTATTTTCAGACAATTCACACTTTCAAAGGACGTCCTAAGAATATTCTGATAACGTCCCTCCGTCCTGAAAACGTCTTCAGAATGTATTTTTGAAAATTTGTGTTATTTTGAGTGCACTAGTATGTAACGGGCATTAGGTGTAAAAGTGTGAAAAGTACAAGCAACTCAAACAAACCTATTAAAAGTGAGCAAATTCACTAGGCATTGGCCAATGAAGTTACAAATATTCTAGTAAATTTGTTCACTTTTGTCATTTTCACTCCGTTTTTAGATACACAATTGACCCCCAGGCTACGTTCCAAAACTCTACTCGGTCAACTCTATTGGGCTGCGTTCAGAAACCCTACTCGGTGAGTAGAGTAACATTTAATTAGCCAATCAGGGCAAAAAGAACTAAGATTTATTTATCCTGATTGGTTTATTAAAGTAACTCTACCCATCGAGTAGGGTTTCTGAACATAGCTTTGCAGGATTCACACAGCGTCCGATATCGACGTACAATGTCCGATATCCAATAGGAGAACAGCTTTCTAGGTTGCATTCCAAAACGTTCTTTTTGAGGAAAATTTTACTCAATATCTATATTTCATGTTACATATACTATAGAATATTGAGTAAAATTTCTTCAAAAAGAATGTTTTGGAACGCAACCCTAATATAGAATTCAATTCTCCATTGGAAAGCTATTCTTTTATTGGATATCGGACGTCATACGTCGGACATCGGATGCGGTGTGAATCCTGCATATGGGACCCTTATGGCTTCTGCACACAGGACGCGG